GGATGTATAAACTAGGAGTATCCTAGGCAAACTGACCTGTAGTCTTCCTGTCTCCTGTAGAAGGCAGTAGAACTCCACTGTGGAGATGATCCTGAACAGGAGGACCCCAGTGCTAATTTCCTTATCTCTTGCTGGAGTGTCTGTTGCAGGCAGATTCCTCAGGCCTTACTAACTTCATATTTCAGCTGATTTCCTGTTTGGAACTGTCGCCGTCATAGTCAGTCTTGTTTGTTCTTTGGCTTCCCAGTGTACATTCATGAATAGGTGGGAATTAATCCTTTCCTTCTGAACATTGGCAGTTCTTTATGTGGCTTGTTTTTTGCCATTTACCATATATTATTTTGTATTTTACTATGTATGTTATATTTTGTATTTTTACTTGCTTTTTTGTATGTATCTAGTTGGGACACAGACTAAATGAATAAAAGGCCTTGGAAGATGAGAAGTTTAAAGCAAATTGTGACAGATGTAGACATCCATTTGAATTGTCACTTTTTGATAATTGAGCTCATCCATCCATCTGCTTATTCAATAAATACTTATTAAGGTTTCTGGGTCAGAGATCGTTTGATGCTAAGGATACAGTAGTGAGCAAGGTATACACGGTCCTTGCTCTTACAGAAAGAACACACTCAATCTTTCTTACATTATTCCAAATAAATAATTTTATGCCAAGAATGAACTGTGAAGAGTATTAAACTCACCTTTTATTTTACAGAATAGGATTTAGCAGTCTTTGTTATTGAGGTTTATGTGTATAAAATGAGAAAAAATAATGGGTGATGCTTTGATTTCATTAAAAAATGATAAATATAAAGGTAGCATTATAGAAAAATTAATAGGCTTGAAACCAGGTAACATTTTAATGTGCGTGTTTCCTTCACAGTTATATTGTGACTTGTGGAAGTGATGGCGATGTGAGGATTTGGGAGGACTTAGATGATGACGACCCTAAGTCCATTAACGTTGGAGAGAAAGCATATTCCTGTGCCTTGAAGGTAGTAAAACAGTTATGCCACTGCACTGGACATGATCCTGCCCTGTAATTTTTATGCTTGGGTGAAAAATACTTATATGGAAGTTTTGAATATCGACATACATTTTTGTTTCTCTTATGAAATGCTATTTTAAAATATATAATAATGCTATTACTGCCCACAATTTTCAGAGGTAAACTTTGAATGGTTTATTAAAAATGATTATTGGAAGGCAGCACCTGTGGCTCAAAGGAGTAGGGCACTGGTCCCATATGCCGGAGGTGGCGGGTTCAAACCCAGCCCCAGCCAAAAACTGCC